TGCCCCCGCGTCGCAGACGGGCCGGCGAACAGACGGACAGACAGGCAGACAGACAGACAGACAGGCAGACAGACAGGCAGACAGACCGTCGCAAGCTGCAAGCGCGTACGGTGTACCGTACGTACGGCGCTTTCCATGCGATTAAAAGCGCGCTCCAACTCGGCCACTTGGCTGCTCCGCGCCGCCTTCCTCTCTCTCCCCCTCCCCCTTCCCTCCCCCCTCACATCGCCGCCGCCGTGTACTTAATCCGTCACTTGTGGCCGGTGACGGGCGGGGCGGGGCGGGGCGGGGCGGGGCGGGGCGTTGCCGCGGGTCTCCGTTTGTGGGCCGGATTAAATGGCGGAATTAGCGCAGCTTGTGTGGCGTCGCTGTGTGTGTTCAGGCCCCCGGCGGCGCGGCGTGTGTGTGTGAGTGTGTCTGTATATTCTGTCCCCTTCGACCCCCCACCCCCTTCCATCTCATCTGACGCCTCGCCCCGGCGGCGGCGGCGCGCGGCGGAATGGCCAAATCTGGCTTCCGTTCGATCCGGATACGGTTTCGGCACAGCAGCGGCGGCGGGTATAGCAAATGCAAGTGGAGTGGGGGTGAGTGGGGGCGCGAAAGCGAAAGCGTTTTCTCTTTTTTAAAAAATATTTATTTTTATTATGTGTGTCGTTATGGTGTGCGACGGTTTTCATTTTTATCTCTTCTCTGCGTGACGACGACGTGCCGACGCGGTCGAGACGCGTGCCGACGTCGTGGTGCCGAGCTCGCGGGGCTTTCTACGCGGACGGGATTGAAAAGTGTGGTTAACACGATACGGCCGCGGGGGCGGTGGCGGCGGCGGTGGTGGCGGCGCTGCGGGGGTGATGACATGTGTGGTGGGGCGGGGCGGGGCGGGGCGCCGCACGCACGCACTAAGCGTGGAAAAATCGGGCTATAAATCTCGGTGCCCAGCCTAATTGGCTACCGAACCCCTTGCTGGGCTTTAAGGCCCCCTTCCCCCACCACCACGCCGATCGGGGCTAGCCAGCCAGCCAGCCAGCCAGCCAGCCAGCGACCGCACCAGTCCTCCCCGGCGGCCATCAGAATCCACTTTGGCTTTGAGGAGCGCAGGGGCGGCGCAGGGGAAGCGCGGTGCGGTGCAGGGGGGGGGGGGCTTCAGAAAATGACCGCCAAGGCCGCGCAATAAGAGCGGCAGTGTTTGTTAAAATCTAACAGAACAGACTCCAATATCGGCCAGTGCTAAACAACAGCCAGGGCAAATAGTCGGGCCGGAACTTCCCCCCTTTCCCTTTCCTGTGCCCCCCCCCCTCCCCCCCTCCCCGGACGGTATTGAAACCAACAGGTGTGCCGCCTTTCGACTGCTTTGGGCCCTTCGCCTTAGGCTGCAGTGCCGCCTTTTGTGCCTTTTGTGCCCGTCCCACCGGCCGCACTACGCCACGCCAGTCGTCAGTCTGCGGGGACAAACGACGAAAAACGCGGTAAACAAAAACAAAACCCGAGCGGATTCGGTCTCCGCTCGAACCGACGCGGCGGCGCGCGCGCGTTCCCTGCCCCTTTTTGTTGTTGTTGTTTTTCGGAGGGAACTGCATATAGGGTCGCCATTTGAATGAGCGCAGCCTGAGAGCCCCCTCCGGCCGGTCCGGCATTGTGTGTGTGGGACTTTTGTGCTTTACGGCGTTAGAGAGACAGAGAGAGATGCAGGGGAGGGGGGACGCGGTGGATTAGAGCGGCAAAGGGTGCGCAAAAGAGAGGGGGCAGAAAAAGGGTGGTTTGGGGTCTGGGGTTTGGGGGTCTCACCGGCGATTACAGGCAATATCCCCGAGGGAGTCGACGGGAACCTCTCCCCCCTCTCTCTTTCTCTCTCTCTCTCTCTCTCTCTCTCTCTCCTTCCTCTTCATCATCTTCACACGCGTCCTCCTCTTCCTGCCCCTTCTTCGCGTCCTCCACGCCCCCGTCGAGGGGCAGGGTGGGGATGGGGGTGGGCTCGCCCCGCTCTCCGGGGACCAGCCAAAACCCCACGTCCTCGACAAATGGCAGGTCTGTGATTTATTGGAAACGAAGGAACTTTTAAACTGTTGCCATCTGGAACTCCCCCCCCCCCCCCCCGCCACTCCGACCAACTTCCGCCTCTCCGTTACGTCTTGTTTCAACAACACACCTTTTAAAAACTGTTTGCCGCGAAGACAGGCCGCCGGGCCGCCGCCAAAGAATGAAACAAGAAAAAAAAGGAAAGTGTGTTTTGCCCGAGCCAGAGCTCCACTTTATCCTGGCTCTGGCCGCCGCCATTGGCGGGCGGGCTCTGTCTCGCTCTGTCTCACTCGCACCTGCGGCACGCACCGTTGAGTGCGAGAGAGAGAGGTCCGAAATCATGCTGCAGGTGGGCAAACACGGAGTGCACCACACGAAGAGGCCCGCTTCGATGGCCCCGGTGAATATGTGGAATGTGGAGCCGCGTGGTGAGGAAGGCGGCGATGAAGGACGAAGAGAGAGAGAGGAGAGAGAGAGAGAGAGAGAGAGAGAGAGAGAGAGAGAGAGAGAGAAGAGAGAAGGCGGCGAGAGAGAGCAAAGGTCGTGGAGATCGGGGAAAGAAGGGGTATATAGTAGTGCGTCGAGCGGGGAGTGGGGGGGGGGGGGACGGGTTGCAATTCCAAGCTCTATAAATCAGCAAGACGCTCGTGGACCCCCGCGGCGGGGCGGGGTGGGGCGGGGCGGGGCGGGGCGGGGCGGATAGGGACCGGAAATGGTTTCAGCCGCTTCCGGCTGGACTCGACCGCCTCAACAGCCGAGCAGCGCATTTTCACTCTCGAGTCAGTTAGGAGCCAGTTTGGGAGCGGGGAGCCGAGCCGACGATCAGCCATGCTGCACACGGGAGCGGCCTGGCGGGGCGGGGCGGGGCGGCCAGGGTAGCGAAACACTTTCAGCTCAAGTTATAATTCACTATTAATATTCAGAAAGCCGACATGACGCATCGGCGTACGGGGAGCGTCAGGGCCGTGCCGGCGGGGCTGGCGGCAGGCGGGTCTGACCGAGCTGCCGGGCTCCGCGGGGGCCGCCTGGCGGTTACGGCGAGAGTTTTTGCGGCGCAGCCAGGTAGCGGCGAAACTAGGAAAAAAGTGTAGGGAAAATGGCGCCTCAGGCCTTGCCTCAGGCCGCTGTCTACATCATGATCGTCACGGTTCAAGTTGCTTCGCGCCTCGGCGGTGCACAGTGTAGCGGCACCGCCTTGCGAGGAGCGCCTTTCGTTTTCACGGCGCGGCTTACGTCCTCATTCGCAAGTCGCCGCCTTCTCGTGCAAGTTTTCGGGGTCACCTTTCGGACGAGCCCCTTCGGACGCGCTGTGGAATTCGGCAGCCCAGCCGCGGGCTGGAACCGCCCGGGAACGAAGCGCCATTAACAGTGCCGAAAGTATAACCATTGACTCTGGCGGTGCTGCTGGGCCTGGCTCGGGCCTGGCCGGGCCGTGGCTGTGCCGACGGGATGGGCACGGCGCGGGCCCGGGCCGCTGTGATGCGAGTTAGGCCGATGCGGTGGGAGTAGTGCTTTTGTGGTTAGCGCCGCCTCACGCCGCTCACGCCGCCGCCGCCCCCGCCGCCCAGAGTTTTGAGTGCGGTCGAGACGCGGGGGGCGGCGGCGGCGGCGGCGGCTTACAGGGCTGGACGATCACAGCGACAAGTTGGATCCGCTGTGCGACGCGCTGCCGCGCCGCCGCCTGGCTGTCAGCCCGCGGTCACGGAGCGGGCGTGACGCACACTGAAAAATGGAATTACGTGCGAGCGTGCGCGTCACGGCGGCGCCGGCGTGCGTGCGTGCGTGGGCGCGAGGAGCGAGGAAGAGAGCACGCTGTGGGGACCTACAGATGTTCGTGCCCCCACTCCGGGCCTGCACAGTCACACACACTGTCGCTCACACACACATACATACACACACGGCCTGGGGTGTGGGCCGTGCGGGCCGCATATATCGCCCGGCGTGATGACCCAATATAAAACATGGGCCGCTCGTCGACAAACAAATGGGTGGCGGGAGACACCCGCAGGCCCCTCCCTGTCCTCCGGCTCGGCTCGGCTCGGCTCGGCTCGGCTCGGCTCGGCTCGGCTCGGCTCGGCAGTTCCAGTGCCGCGCGTATAATTGTTTGTAGCGCCAGCGATTGGAACACCAGGTGATGAGCTCTCTGCTTTCCACACCGTGTGTCGTCTGCCTGCCCCCTGCCTGGAACCGACGCGCCGAAAAATGATTTCACCGAAAAATACCCCTCCGCTCTGTTCGGTTGCTCACCCTGAGACGAGACCTTTGGTTGCCGCGACCAACCCTCGCCGAGGCGCGGTCACGGTGTTGTCGCCACAATCAGAAAAACAATCACCACCACCTACCCGATCCACTCCGACCGCTGCGACGGACTCCTGATTTCCGTGTGTGGACTGTTACTCCACTGCGAGAGTTAGTTCCTCATCCGCCTCGCTCGCCCACAAACGAACCAGCGACGCATCTCGCATTCAATCTCGCGCTGTCTCTCTCGCACCCGCGGGGCGTCGCGGCGTCGCCGAGGGGTGCGAGAGAGACAGCGAGAACACTTGCCGGCATCCACTTATTCCTCATTACTTATTCCCAGTCTTGCCTCGTCTCCCTCGCGCGAGGACTGCAAGGACCGCAAAGGACCGAGTGCCGCTCGGATTTTGATTCCGTTTCCGTCGCTCCGTCTCTCTCGCACTCATGGATCGTGCCGGGCAGGTGCGAGAGAGACGGAGCGACGACTCTCGGAATCAGTCTGCAGTGTGGTGACAAGTGCGATTAAAATCTCCGGCTGGCGCATCGCCACACGCATACACACATATTCGGGGCGTCCCCGCGCGGCCCTGGGTCGTGTGTGGAGGGGGGGGGGGGGGGGAGCAGGAGTGCCCTCGCGGGGGCACTTTATCCTCGTCCCCAGGCCTGGGCCTGGGGGTGGCCGGGTCTGGCCGGGACCCCCTATGCTTCTGCTGTTGTTTGTTGACATGTCCTTGTTGGTGTGTTCGCAGCCACGAATGACCAGAAGACCAACTTCGCCGAGCCCATCCCCAACGTGACGGTGGCCCTGGGCAGGGACGCCTCGCTGCCCTGCGTCGTCAACAACCTAGGAACCTACAAAGTGAGTCATTAAACATGAAATACGTCCACACGTTTTCCTCGCATTCCTTTCCCCCGTTTTTTTTTTTTTTTTTTTTTGAAAAAATTGTCGCATTTGAGGTCGCATTCATAAATACGCATGTGTGGTTTGGTCGGCGACGACCCCTCTCTCTCTCTCTCTCTCCCTCCGCCGCGGTTGCTGCGCGCTGCGGCATGTGAACGTGCAGGCAGCAGGCGGACCGAGGCGGACTGGAGCCGCGGTGTTTTACAATGCAGAGCGCTTTGATCGCGCGTGTCACTACGGCGCTCCATACACGCCCCGGGGGAGCTTTCCGCCTCCCCTCCCCTCCCTCTCTTCCTCCCCTCCCCTCCCTCCCTCTTCACCTCCCCTCCCCTCCCCCGGCGTGCACCTGCACCACCGGCCCTTGTCTCGCCCATACATCTTCATACGGTGGTGTGCGCACCGCGTGGCGTTAGGAGGCCCCGCGACCGCGGTGCAGGATCAAGGCAGGATCGGAAGGGAGAGGATCAGAGAGGATGGGGCGGCAGGGTTAAGGATCAAGGACCAAAAATCAAGGATCAAGGCAGGATCGGAAGGGAGAGAACATGATAACAGAGCAGCATCGATCAAAATGACTGCTCCGTCTCTCACAATCCGCTGCGGAATTACCCCTGGAGTGTGACAGGGACACAGCTCGCGGTTCTAAACGGGGCCGCCGGCTTTCCTTGCCGTCGCTCCCGCTGAATGTTTGAGGTGCCTTCGAAGCGGACGGCTTGCCTGACGGACGGACGCTCGGAGTGGCTACCGGTGTCGCATCTATTCCGGGACTCGTGTGTGCCTCTCGTGCCTCGAGCCTCATTCCACATGCCGCACGACGCGGCCGACGCGGCGCTGCACTGTTTGATTGGACCGCGACTCCTAACCGAATGGTCAAGTTTTCGCCAGTTCCACTTCTTTCTCTTTCGCGCCGATCGTGTCTGCCTGCGCGCCACGTCCTTTTTTCCTCTTTATCGTTTTCTTCTCTCTCTTCCTTTTCTTCTCTCTCTCTCTCTTTCTTTTCTTCCCCCTCTCTCCCCTCTCTCTCTCTCTCTCTCTCTCTTTCACGCGCACGCGCTGGCGCCGTCTCTCTTTTCTTTCACTCCTCGCAACCTCCATGTGAAACTTGCCACTTTGGCTCGGACCTTTCCCGTCCAGGAGCTTTGCGTTCCTGTGGGGTGGGGGGGGGGGGGGGGGGGGCTCTGCTGGAGAGGGAGAGAGAGCTGGCAGGCGCGAAAGACGAGAAGTTTCTCACATGCTTTTGGTGCTGGAATTAACAGAGTTCACATATCGGCATTCCTGTAGAATCTTGGGCCTGTTTTTGACCAACGACTATGGAGCTCAAAACGCGTCGAGAGTGGTTTTGGCTGCCGGCGCCGGCGGCCGGCTGCGAGGTAGGCTTCCCGGCCGCTGCGGTGCGTGGCGGGCTGGCCGACCCTCGAGTTTGCGGGCGCGGGCCGACTCCCCGGGCAGCCGGTACGGTGCGGCGTGGCGGGGGGGCGGGGCGGGGGGGGGGGCGGGGGGGGGCGGGGCGGGGGGGGGCGGGGCGGGCGGGGGGGGCGGGGGGGGGGGCGGGGGCGCCCGTCAAACGGCGTGGCGGCGAAAGGCGGCGGCCGGAACCCTCTCGCCGCGCCGTGCCCATGAGAGCAAATTTTACGGTTGGTTACTCACTTGCGAGCAACAGCGGGGCGGGCGGGGCGGCCGGGTGGCGCGCCGCGCACCCCGCAGCGGCCGAGCCTGCCCTGTTGCTGGCCACCGCGTTTCCGCTCGCGAACCATTGACGCGAGCCAGCCAGGCAGGCAGGCAGGCAGGCAGACCGGGGCAGTACATCACGCGCAAATGGCAGCCCGCGTTGGTAAACGCTGCACGCTGCGCACACACTGTGTGCTGCAGTGTGCCAAACCTGCAAGCCTTGACCCGGTTCCATTCGCTTCCATTTACTCTCGCCGTGCGCCGCTTGCTGCGCCGTGCGTGGTACACTGTAAACATGCCCAGTTATCCCGGACTGGCGATGACAGTTGCGGCCCCGCTAGGGGTGCCGCTTCCCCGCCGCCGCGGGCACCGAACTGTAACCGCCGCTGAGAAGGGTCTGCTTGCTCACAGCGCCGAGGTGGGGCAGCGGGGCCGGCCGGCCTGGGGCCCGGCAGATGGAGTGGTCTGAAGGCTAACAGGCAACAGGTGTGTCTAACGAAGGCGTCAACACTATTCATCAATGGCTGGCGGGGCGTGCGGGGGTGGGGGAGTCCCTGCACTGCGAAAGCGCCCTGGCAGGCCTGGAAGGCTGCAGAACGGACACACAGTGGGCCAGAAGACCAGCGGAGGCGGCCGAAACTCAAAACGCGTTTTGAGCTCCAGATTCGCTAAACAGGACTCGAACTGAGCGTGTGACCCCACCAATGGATTCCTTGTTCGGAGAGCAATCCATGGTGGAGCCATAGTCCCATTTAGCGACTCTGGAGCTCAAAACGCGTCCGGGATTTTGACCGCCTCCGCCGGTCTTCTGGCCCACTTTGAGATGAACAGACGGGCAGACGGTCTGTCCGGATAGCCGGATGGATACACTGGCAGAAGGGTGAAGCGCGGCATTGATCTGCGAGACGCGGGAGGACTGAGGGCTCGCTGGGGTGCAAACGATTGGTAATGAGTGACGATTCATGTCGAGGGGCAGCGCTGTCTCTCTCGCACCCCACTGCGGGTCGGGGGACGACCCGTGAGTGCGAGAGAGACAGGACGCGGGGCCGCCTCTGCACGTCCGGGGCTTACTGCACGCGCCCCTCAGAGCCGTATTCCCTGGAACCCTCAAACCGTCTCCGTCGTCGACCCGTTTCTTTGGCCTTCCGGGGCTCCGTGGCCCCGCGGGCTGCCGCTCTGCCGTGGCGCCGTCACAGCGGACTGATTCCGAGCGTCGTTCTCGTCGCTCTGTCTCTCTCGCAGCGATACGGGGCGCCCCATGGGTGCGAGAGAGACAGAGCGACGACGACGACTCTCGGTGTGCAGGCTGCACACTTGACTGCGCGGCCACAATGCAGTACTCGGCGTCCGTCCGACCCGACAGAGGGCAGGGCGGGGCGGGCAGAGGCCGTCGTCGCCGAGCCACGCCGAGCAACGCGAAACAGTGCAGCAGCGCGGCAGCAGCGTGGCATTGTCCCGCCAAGATTTCTTCGCACCGACCGACCGCCCCCGCGGCCCCCGCCTCGAGCCAGAGTATTGAATTTCGCATACCGCGCAGCGCTCGCGCCACTGGGGCACGGCACCGCACATGGTCGTTGTTGGGGCACTTCTTGGCAAGCTGTTGGAACGCGCGGCCATTAGCCATAGCCGGGCCTAGGGAGCGCGTGGCGCCCAGCGCCCCGCCCTGCGCCCCGCCTGGCCCGGGATTACAGAGTTGTCCGGCTTTGGCGCGCAAGTCGGGTGGACTTGGCCACCTCCAAGAAGTGCTGCACGGCGACACGGCAACCGCCACACTGTGGCCTGCAGCACTCGTCCCGTGCATGCTTCCCCCTTGTTCGATCGCGGGCCGAGACAATGATAACGCAACAGCGGATCCGACTGCTGGACCGTTCCCGTCTCCACGGGACAGGGCAGAGCGACGCTCGGAGTCAGCCCGCGGGGCGCTCTATTATAGACGAGAACAATGTACCATACAGCCGGTCGCTCGCTTTCCCCGCCCCGTGTCCAGAGAATGGCCCGCCAGCCCGGACGGCCCGGCCCGGACGTCCTCTGACACGCCCGTAATTTTTCACAGTTTGCAGCGTCTTCTCGCAAAACGCTCCCTGATGGATGGCGACGGCGAGCGGGTTGGGTTGATCGCGGACGGGCCTTTGCCGCGCGGCCCGGCAGGCAGATCGTGCGCTCTCTCTCGCACTCGCGGGGCGTCCCCTGTGGGGCACTGGGGGTGCGAGAGAGACAGCGCGACGTCCGGAAGCGTCGCTCGGCGTCGCTCGGCCGGCCGGCATGTTGATGGCATGTTGATGCAGCCTTCGGCCTTCGGTCCGCCCTGGGCCTGGGCCGCCCCCGCCGATTGGACTATCAAGCGACTCCCCGGACAACCCACGCCGCCCGGCCTGGCCTACGCCCCCCACGCGAGCCGGCCTCTCGGGCCGGTGAAAAGTAAAACATAAAAACGTGAGGAGAGAGAAAAAAATTGCATTTCGGCTCGCGGCGAGAAGGGGGCGCGGCGAAGCCGGAACACCTCTCCGCGTTGCCTTGCTGGCATGCTGGCCCGCCTTGCTGGCTTGCCGGCCCGCCTTGCTGGCCCGCCGCCGGCTTGCTGGCTCCTTGAATGAGTTTCACAAGCAATGGCGTTGTTTGCGCCGTAATAGGAAGGCCCTCTGGATTACTTAGCCCATTCTCGTCCAGACACCCTTTCCACCTCCCCCCCCTCCCCCCCCCCCCTCCTCCTCGCTGCGGCTCCAGAGGGCCCAGGGCCTTCTGCTCCCAACACACCATGTGCATATTCATCGCCGGCCAATCTGCAGAGGAGCATACCTAGCAGCTGGGTCTTCTTTCGCGTCCCGCCACGCCAGTACCGCCAGTGCGCCGCCTCTCCCTTCCTTAATTCTATCCTTGCATTCCTCCTCCGCGATTCCTCCTTCGTCCCCACCATGTGTCCTTCTACTCCGCTACCTTCTGTCTTCTTTTCATCTTCTATTTCTCTTCTTCTTTCTTCTTTTTCACCTTCAATTCCTCTCTTTCGTCCTTCTTCTCCTTCTTCAACTCATCCCCTTCCTCGTCTCCTTCTTTCTCCTCCTCCTCCTCCTCCTCCTCCTCCTCCTCCTCTCCTCCTCCTCTCCTCCTCCTCCTCCTCCTCCTCCTCCTCCTCCTCCTCCTCCTCCTCCTCCTCCTCTCCTCCCCTCCTCCTCCTCCTCCTCCTCCTCCTCCTCCTCCTCCTCCTCCTCCTCCGCTGCAGCCCCGGCAGGCCCCGGCCGCTATACGGCAGTCCAGGCAGCTCCCGCGCGCGCTTCGCGCACCAGCAATGGGCTACT